GCACTCATCCACCTCACCAACACTGCGTACTCACACAGACACTCGCACTCATCCACGCTCACCAACACTCACTCACACATACCCGCACTCATCCACGCCACCAACACTCGTCACCACACAGACACTCGCACTCATCCACGCCACCAACACTCGTACTCACACAGACACTCGCACTCATCCACGCTCACCAACACTCGGCACTCACACAGACACTGCACCCATCCACGCCACCAACACTCGTACTCACACAGACACTCGCACTCATCCACGCCACCAACACTCGTACTCACACAGACACTGCACTCATCCACGCTCACCAACACTCTACACAGACACTGCACTCATCCACGCTCACCCACACTCGTACTCACACAGACACTCGCACTCATCCACGCTCACCAACACTCGTACTCACACAGACACTCGCACTCATCCACGCTCACCAACACTCGTACTCACACAGACACTCGCACTCATCCACGCTCACCAACACTCGTACTCACACAGACACTCGCACTCATCCACGCTCACCAACACTCGTACTCACACAGACACTGCACTCATCCACGCCACCAACACTCGTACTCACACAGACACTCGCACTCATCCACGCCACCAACACTCTACTACACACAGACACTCCGACTCATCACCACCAACACTGTACTCACACAGACACTGCACTCATCCACGCCACCAACACTGCACTCACACACACTCCACTCATCCACGCTCACCAACACTCGTACTCACACAGACACTCGCACTCATCCACACCCCCACCAACACTGTCACTCACAGCACACTGCACTCATCCACGCTCACCAACACTGCATCACAGACACTCGTCACTCATCCACGCTCACCAACACTCGTACTCACACAGACACTCGCACTCATCCACGCTCACCAACACTCGTACTCACACAGACACTGCACTCATCCACGCTCACCAACACTGACAACACAGACACTCCCCATCACCAACACCACTACACAGACACCGACTCATACCAACACTTACTCACACAGAACCCACCATCCACTAATCTACAAACAACTCCCAACAACACACCATCACGCCACACTACTACACAGACACTGCACTCATCCACGCCACCAACACTCGTACTCACACAGACACTCACTCATCCACGCTCACCAACACTGCACTCACACAGACACGCGCACTCATCCACGCCACCAACACTCGTACTCACACAGACACCGCACTCATCCACGCCGCCACCAACACTCGTACCACACAGACACTGCACTCATCCACGCTCACCAACACTGTACTCACAGACACTCCACTCATCCTCACCAACACTGTACTCACACAGACACTCACTCATCCACGCTCACCAACACTCACATACACACTCACACCACCAACACTCACAGACACTCGCACTCATCCACGACCAACACTCGTACTCACACAGACACTCGCACTCATCCACGCCACCAACACTCGTACTCACACAGACACTCGCACTCATCCACGCTCACCAACACTCTCAACCACAGACACTCGCACTCATCCACGCCACCAACACTGTACTCACAAGACACCACCATACGCCACCAACACCACACACCGCACTCATCACGCTCACCAACACTCGTACTCACACAGACACTCGCACTCATCCACGCTCACCAACACTGCCACCACACAGACACTCGCACTCATCCACGCTCACCAACACTCGTACTCACACAGACACCGCACTCATCCACGCTCACCAACACTCGCATACACAGACACTGCACTCATCCACGCTCACCAACACTCGTACTCACACAGACACTCGCACTCATCCACGCTCACCAACACGTACTCACACAGACACCTGCACCATCCACGCCACCAACACTCACCACAGACACTCGCACTCATCCACGCCACCAACACTACCAAACTACTCATCCACCAACACTCGTACTCACAGACACTGCACTCATCCACGCCACCAACACTGCACTCACACAGACACCACTCATCCATCGCCAAACACTCGTACTCACACAGACACTCGCACTCATCCACGCCACCAACACTGTACTCACACTGCACAGACACTCGCTCACTCATCCACGCCACCAACACTCGTACCACACAGACACTCGCTCACTCATCCACGCTCACCAACACTCGTACTCACACAGACACTCGCACTCATCCACGCTCACCAACACTCATACTCACAGACACTCGCACTCATCCACGCTCACCAACACTCGTACTCACACTCATACAGACACTCGCTCACTCATCCACGCTCAAACACTCGTACTCACACTCACACAGACACTCGCACTCATCCACGCTCAAACACTCGTACTCACACTCATACAGACACTCGCTCACTCATCCACGCTCAAACACTCGTACTCACACTCACACAGACACTCGCACTCATTCACGCTCAAACACTAGTACTCACACTCACACAGACACTCGCACTCATTCACGCTCAAACACTCGCACTCACACTCGCACAGACACTCGCACTCATCCACGCTCACCAACACTCGTACTCACACTCGCTCACTCATCCACGCTCACCAACACTCGTACTCACACAGACACTCACTCACTCATCCACGCTCACCAACACTGCACTACACAGACACTCGCACTCATCCACGCTCACCAACCTCGTACTCACACTCGCACAGACACTCGCTACCCATCCACGCTCACCAACTCGCGCCTCGTACACACACCGACACCGCACTCATCCACGCCACCAACTCTCGTACTACACTCGCACAGACATCGCTCACTCATCCACGCTCACCAACTCTCGTACTCACACTCTCACAGACACTCGCACTCATCCACGCTCACCAACACTCATACTCACACTCACACAGACACTCGCTCACTCATCCACGCTCACCAACACTCGTACTCACACTCACACAGACACTCGCACTCATCCACGCTCACCAACTCTCGTACTCACACTCGCACAGACACTCGCTCACTCATCCACGCTCACCAACTCTCGTACTCACACTCGCACTCATCCACGCTCACCAACTCTCGTACTCACACTCGCACAGACACTCGCTCACTCATCCACGCTCACCAACTCTCGTACTCACACTCGCACAGACACTCGCACTCATCCACGCTCAGCAACACTCGTACAGACACTCGCTCACTCATCCACTCACCAACACTCGTACAGACACTCGCTCACTCATCCACTCTCAACAACACTCATACGCACACACTCGCTCACTCATCCACTCTCACCAACACTCATACGCACACACTCGCTCACTCATCCACTCTCACCAACACTCATACGCACACACTCGCTCACTCATCCACTCTCACCAACACTCGCTCACTCATCCACTCTCACCAACACTCGCTCACTCATCCACTCTCACCAACACTCGCTCACTCATCCACTCTCACCAACACTCGCTCACTCATCCACTCTCACCAACACTCGCTCACTCATCCACTCTCACCAACACTCATACGCACACACTCGCTCACTCATCCACTCTCACCAACACTCGCTCACTCATCCACTCTCACCAACACTTGTACAAACACGCACTTTCACTAACATTTTCACACACACACTAAAATGGGAGCATGTTCATAGTGACTGTTTGTTTTCTGCTCCTCTGATCTCTGAAGGCGTTGCGTCTATCTGCCCACATAAACCTTCTGAGCCTCCATTACACTCAGGTAAAGGTCACACTCGCCCACAACAGATTCTGTGCCTGAGTGTGTGTGTGTTGCGGGGGAGAGCTGGGACATGACACACAAGTGAAAGATGACATTAAATCGCTAAGTGCTACTGTGAGTTAGAGAAGTGACATTACGAGCTCATAAACTGATGACGTGGATATTTGAAAAAGCACGGGTCAATATTTTTACCATTATTATTACTACAAATAAGGTTGACATAAGCGCTCGGGAAAAAAGGTTTCATTTTTCCCCCCTGATACTTGGCTACATCTCCACTTGTTTAAGAAACACACATGCACATTCAATTCATGTTCTCAGTTTATTTTTATTTGTGTAACAATTTTAACTTTCGTCACCAAGCTATCAGGATCAGTCTGGATTTTTTTTTCTCTCTTTTTATTTCTGATGTTTGGAGCTTTGACGGTTTTGATACCACAAGAGTTTGCCTACACTTTTGCAAGGTTGCATTAGATACAATGATAAACATACATTTCCTCACATCCAACTGAGGGCTCCCTCCCTCCCTGAGCAACTCTCACGTGTGCGTTTCATCGAGCAAGTGCCTCTTACAACATCCAAGCCAAACGGCATGGAATTCTCTCACACACACTCACTCACACACTCACACACACTGCGTGAAGTGTTAGTGATGCATACTCACAGTTGCATTATGAGGTACAGGTGATCGGAGCTTTCGTAAATGTCTTCCAGGGCCACGATGTTCTCATGCTTGATCCTGGAAAATAAACAGAATATTAGACTAGTCATAAAATAAAATAAAAAATAATCATACATTTTTTTAAATAATAATAATAATAATAAAAAAATAAAAATAAATAATAATAAAAAAAAGACACCCCCTATACCCTTATATCTTCAGATACCCCCCCAAATCTCCCGATAACCCCCACCCCTTTATGATTTATATCTTCATCTAAGGAAGTTTTATGAATAAATCTTTATTGTTGATTTGCAAGATTGTGTGTTGTTAAATTGTTTTGGGAGCGGAGACAGGGGATCTGAAACGTGTGGAATTTATTTCGATTCCCTAATTATAATTTCCGACCGTTTCTTCTCCTCTACTTTAGACAAGGGATGTTGTAACAAAAGTTTTAACGGTCATAGAGTGTACATCTAAAGATCTTATTATAGTAAAGAACGTGACACCGATCAGCCATAACATTAAAACCACCTGCCTAATATTGTGCAAGTCCCCCTGTTGAGACCTCAGAAGCTGTACTGTGGTATCTGGTACCAAGATATTTCTGGTATTTGGCAGAGAGATTTGAACTCATGACCTTCCGATCAGTAATCCAAGAGCTTAACCACTGATCTACGACTGCCCAAGAGACCACAGTCTACACCTTGAACTCGGCCATGTTCCTCAAACCATTCCTGAAGAGTTTTTGTAGTGTGGCAGGACACATTATAATGCTGAAAGACTGCTATTAGGGAATACCAATGACATGAATGGGTGGGGGTTCCAAGGTTTCCCAGCAGAATATTACCCAGAACATCACACTGCTTCCGCCGACTTGCTTTCTCCCCATAGTGCATCCTGATGCACCATTCTTCCTCAGGTAAATGACGGACACGCACCCAGCAGTCCACATGATGTAAAAGAACACGTGATTCATCACACCAGACCTCCTTCTTCCATTGCTCCAGTTCTGATGCTCACATGCACATTGTAGGTGGTTTTGGCGGTGGACAGGGGGTCAGCATGGGCATTCTGACCGGCTTTCATACGCAACAAGCAGCAATGTCCTGTGTGTTCTGATACCTGGTAGAAACTATTATTTACTATTATTAAAGCATTAACCTTTGTAGCAGTTTGTGCTACCGTCGCTCTTCTGTGGGATCAGACCACGTGCCACATGCATCAGTGAGCCTTGGGTGCCCACGACCCTGTCATCGATTCACCGGTTGTCCTTCCCAGGAGCACTTTTGGTAGGTATTAACCACTGCGTACCGGGAAAACCTCACAAGACCTCCAGTTTTGGATATGCTCTGACCCGGTCGTCTAGCCGTCACAATCTTGTCCTTGTGAAAGTCTCTCAGAACCTTACTCTTGCCATTTTTCCTGCTTCCAACATGCCAACTTCAAGATCTGACTGTTCACTTGTTGCCTAATAAATATATCTCACCCCTCGACAGGTGCCTCTGTAGTGAAATAATCAACATTATTCACATCATCAGTGTATACAGTATTAACCAGCCTTAACAATCCTGTGGGTAGCTTTTAAAATGTGCCGCCACTGGCTTTTACTTTTGCGTCACAGCGGAAATTCTAGATAGATAAGCTAGCTAATTAGCTGATCGTAGACAGAAGCGGGAGCAGTGTTGCTATGGATACAATGTGCGGGTTTGAGTGATTTATTATTATTATTATTATTATTATTTTTATATGAGCACAAAAGGCCAGTGCTGTTACTGCGGAAAAAAACAAACAAACAAACAAACAAAAAACCCCAGTATGATACATGTGGAAATAAACATATGGGTACATCAAGGGATGGTCAACGAACATCTGACCACGCAGCGATCATTTCCACGTTAATCAGAAATCAGCAACGTTTCCTCTCCGACATGCTGATTCATTTGATTTTTTTTGCTCGAAACTAATCACAGAAGTACTCGACTTCAAAGGATTAGTCGTAAACTCATTTAGTTCCAGCCTCTCTCTTTCTCCACATCTCCTCCCTCCCTTAAGAAAGAGTGGGCACAAAACTGCGGCGTGACTCATCCAGTGCTTCTGAAAGCCTTTCCTTTAATTATAGAGAGAAACACAGAGAAAAGACAGAGAGGGGGAGATGAAGAAAAGGGGAGGAAAAGAAAAAAGAAAAAGAAAAAAAAAGACAGACAGACACCCTTTATTCATGGGAAACAAAAAGAACCGATTTTAAAAGACGAGATCATGACACAAAGTAAACCGCAAAGTCTTCCACGATATTGTTCGGCAGTCTGCGTCTCAAATAAACGCGACACCCGTGGCTGCATGTGTGAATACATGACTCAGTGGTTCGGAGCCGTCATGGAAAGTCTAATAGAAACTTGTCTAATATAAAGACGAGAGGGAGACAAACAGTCCAAACACGCAAGGGCAGACAGATGGGTTAATTGGGTCTTGGGATAGAGCGGTAATTAGTGTTCAAACACCTGAGTCCTAAATCACTGTATAATGAGGAGAGCTGTTTGCCACGCGGATACCGAGGACGCGTCGGTGTTCCCGGCCTGACGCAGATCATTTCCATGTCAACTTTTACAATAATACGTACACCATAGTGGTATTTTGTATTCATTATATTTAATTGGACTTTTTCCACTCACTGGCAATTTTCTAGCATGTACATGACTTTGTATGGATAGAATGACTGATTTCTGACCATCTCCTGCTCCGAACAACGTCTCAACCCCCAGCTATTTCTTGATTAAAAGAATGGGACCACCACAGGACCATCACTGAACAGAGATTATTTGGGTGGTGAACCATTTTTAGCACAGCAATGAGATTTTTTTTCTACTACTGGGTTCAGAAACCACCCAACAACCAAAAACATTAAACTCGGATATTTAACAGTCCGAGTCCGGTTCCTCTCGAGGTTTCTTCCTCATCACCTTAAGGAGTTTTTCCCCTCGCCACCACCTCACTCAATAGGGATAAATTCACACGCTTAAAATCTGTATCCTGTGTTTATATGTTTCTGTAAAGCTGCTTTGAGACAATGTCCGTTGTTAAAAGCGCTACACAAATAAAATTGTATTGAATTGATGAACACAAAAACGTGCACGGCTTCAACTGAAATTTGTCAAATAAACAACTAATATGTCTAAAATGAGGACAATAATTACCTTTCAGTGATTAAGTGGTTCCATTTTGTTTCACAGAGGAGACCGTTTTGAACTTGAAGTGGACAATAAACGCAGATTTCTCCATTTAATGGGGTTTAAGCATTGTGTTATTGTTGTCAGCATTTCTTAACAAACCGTGTCACTTCACTTCACAAGCCAGAAAGGGTCAATCTCTGCAAGTCTGTGAATATTCCTTCCTTTCTCAAAAGGACTGGCTTCAGCAAAATAATTTCTATACATGCATGTGATAGGCCGCAACGGAGGATCCGCTCCAGGTTCACGTTTAAAAACAAATAGAGTTCTTAAAACCCCCCCCCCCCCAGCCCAAAGACATGCATGGTAGGTTGATTAGAGACACGGACATGCCAGTGTATGAATGGGTGTGCATAGAAGGAGCCTCCCCTGGCAGTATCATACTGCTGAGCGGCTAATCCTTCCATCACGATGGTTCGACTATGAAGTGGAACCTCAACACGAAAAGAAGAAGACCGAAAGCTCAGTTAAATCCGCTGAAACAGTTTGGGTCCGCTTCTGGAGAGTGGTCTAACATTTAATGACCCCTGGGCAATAAAGTCCGTATTCTGTACACCTATAACGTGGAACAAGATATGCTGTGGCGAATAGCGACAGTAAATATACTCAGTGTTTAAACTCCAAGTATGTGTCCGAGACACTCATACCAGCATATATTATCTGCTTAGCGCTGACTCTGACGTGGTCCCTTTCGAGTGTGTACTCTAGATCAGATGGGTTATTCAGTGGTTTTATACCTATAACGTGCATTCCTGAATTCTCTCTGCAATATTAAACACCGGAGAAATATTAGTATTCCATATTACTGTTATGATACCTGCCAACCATGAAGGAGAATAATATAAGTGTGGAGGAGTATTGAAAATAATACTGTCCACTTTCCATATTGTCCTTTTAGAAATCGGTCTACGGGAGCTTTTGTCGAAACCGTGAGACTGTTTTTCTCTGTTAGTCGACGCATCAATGCGGACCAGTGCAGGAGAGAAAACAACGTTTTTTTAAATGACTTACTAAATAATCTTTACCATTAATGACCTTGATGTCCTGATGCCCTACGTCTGGATGGCATCAACTTGAGGCTACAGCCTGGGGATTGCTAAAGACGGTAGCGCTTGAAGTACCATGGAGATGATTTTGGAGCCCAGTTCCACATGGACGTTCTCGCCGTTGTTGCTGGGACTAAGATTGTTGTGATGGCCTTAGGACTACAATTACCACGTACAGTTTTACACTCAGGTCTCCTTTAGTGAACAGTGGACTAGTTCAACAAACAGACTTCATATAAAAATCATAATGCACTTTCTTTTACTTTCCACACTATCCGTCGTTACGGATGATGGGTTCCCTTCCGAGTCTGTGAACCTTATAACACAATATACTTCTATATTTAAAAAATAACTCATAATCTAGATATCCAGAAATTAATGAGACCGTATCATCTAAAAACACATACATTATCAGATTCAGATATTATTCAAGAGACAGCTGTGACTCATTCAGGTGAAAGGGGTAAAAAAAAAAAAAAAAAAAATGATCCATGATGAAACGCTCATGTATAGCGCCTATGAGGGAGCTCTGCTACCACTGGTGTGAGTGTGTGAATGAGACACAGTGTAAAGGGCTTTGGATAAAAGCTCTATACAAGTGCGCCATTTACCCTTTGCGCCATTTGGCTGCTCTTTTTGTGTATTTTTGAGTGAGGACATGTACTGGGGTACACTGATGTTAAAAGGTGGAGCCTACACAAAATGTGTGAAGGTTGCCAGCTCGGTATACAATTATTATAGTCCATAAGCATATTTCAGCAAGATACCAAGAGACACACACACACGAGAAGTATTCTCACTGCATGTCTTTCACGTTTATCTAATTACAGGCCTACAGCGTTGCCAGGGAGATGCCAGTCATCTGTCCATCACCCAGCCCATTGCTATGATATGAGTGACGGACAACAGAGACGAAGGACAAAGGACATCAGTCTCCAGGGCTTGACCGCAGCAACAGCATTGACACTACATCAAGCACCACATGAAGCCCTATTTGATTAGCTTTCATGGGGGAAGAAAAATGGCATCGTAAATCATGTGCATGTCACATCCCACTAACACAACTTCATCTGCATGTACACTACATGTAAAAGGAATTTCCTGGTCTAAAAACCTAATACAAAAATCCTCCAAATTGGCATTTTGGTAACATTGCCAAGGACCTACAGGGACTGAGGGTGTAAAAGAAGCAGCACGAACATGGAAGAAAAACAACAATATCTAGATGCTCTGAATTATGTTAATAGAAAGACATTGCAGAACATCAACCGGAGCATCACGCCACCTCGGTCAGCTTGCCTTCTACTTAAACTGCGTCCTGGTTCCATTTCTTCCCAAGGTACGTGACGCACACACACCTGGCCTTCCACACGATGTAAAAGAAAACGTGATTCATCAGAACAGGCCTCCTTC